GACAAAGGGACGGAAGGCATTGAGGCGGATTCTGACCCTGCTAAAAAGACCCAGTGGGACTGGTGTCCCAGTGGACCAATGTGGATTATCGCCAGACACAGGTCAAGACTGTAAACACAGACATGGAGGTCTTAACAAAAAGATGGTGTTGAGCTCTCCATAAAGCCAACCAGGCGCAGTGCATTCGGGGTATTTTACTTCCCTCTTATGAAATACCTTTTACCCTCACCTCACCGCCCACCGCCCCAACTAAAGTAGGGCAAAGGCTTTCTTCTCACTGCCACTCGCTGCATCCACCGCATCCACCCCTCACCTCACGCTGAGCAGGCAAGAACAACCACGCAGCCGCCCTGCACTCACTGGTTGAACTTGCCGGCAGTCTACAAGGCAGGACACGCTGTATTTGTTAAATCACCCCAGCACAGACGTTACGTTAGTTTAAAAAGAATCACACGGTGCAGATTCGAGATAGAGAGCATTTTTGTTAACGGTCTAAATAAAGGAAGGCTTACGATGTAATAATGAGAATCCCGGCTCTCTCAAAACAGTATGAGAAACTTGAAGCTCTATCTCTGAGGAACAAAGCCTCCCTTGGCAACATCCACGTGGGTTTCGTAACCAGACTGGCCAATGCGTACACTGGCATTTTAGGCATGTTACTGAAACCAAAAAGGTATGTCATTTGGTAATCCTGTTAGATACAAGTATTATGCATCTACGTAGGAGGTATATAGATGAACCACGAAATCATAATGTATTATTGTTCATCAAGATCATTTGGATTTTCAAGTAATCTGACTAGAAAGCTATCTAGAATAATTGCATAGCACTGTAGTCATTTACAGCACTGTTATCTAAAAATATTTATATATATTTTTGTATAAACAGTACTTTAGTCTTGCTTTGCAGATTTAATGAGTATTAGCAGAGTTACAACAAAGAATACAAGTTTAATCAAGTTTAGAACTGGCTCGTGAGCTCACTTAGTTCCTTTTCCACCCCTAATTTCTTCAACAATGTTCTATGGCCTTCAAAGAAAATCACAGGATTCTCATAAACTCTGCAACTCATATCTAAGGAGCACTCTTTCACATTCACACTTAGCACTCACCTGAGTCAACTAATGTGGACGCAAATCATAAGTCTATGCCACTCGGAGATCAGAGGAGAGGTTTTGAGATCTGCCTCATCATTCACAGCCAATGCCAATCTAATCAGTGGAGGCTTATGTGTTGTTATAATGCTGCAGTGGATTTTGTAGAGCTTCCAAACTAAGACGGGCTGACTACTTCTGTAAATGAGCCAATGAAAATCCTGTGGATCACAACCATCTGAACCCCAACCCATCGCGGGATGCCACAGGCCTGGGTGACGTTTCTTCATGGGCTGCCAGCAGGTGATGGCAGGCTGGCCAGCAGGCAACTGCAACATCTCACTACTCAGCTCCTGGTTTTCAAGCTACCATAGGGGGTTTGCTTTTTCTTTTTAATGCAAGCTGTTTTCTAAATCATTTCGACTACTGTCTTCATTCGGAATACCATTCATAACACCCTCAGCTTTAGGACTCGTTCAGAGTCCGGCTGAAGCAGTTACGATAATGGAGCGGCATGCCCCCAAAGGGGGAAAGACAGACAGGAAAACACCTACTTCTAACAATGTGAAGACTATTCGTTTCTCAGAGCTCTTGTCAGGAGCCCTGGTGGCACCGTGGGTTTTGCCTGGGCTGCTGAACACACACAAGGTCGGCAGTTTGAAATCACCAGCTGCTTCGCTGGAGAAAGGCTTTCTGCCCCTTTAAGAGTTAAAGTCACAGCAACTACAGGGCCAATTGTGTCGCTCTGAGTAGGACTCAACTTGATGGCAGTGAGTTTGGTATTAGTTTGAGGGCTGTTGTAACAAAAACAAGACGGCTTCAAATTATTTATGAAAAAGTTAACTAAAAAGACAACGGGATTTTTCTACAAGCTTTTTGAAGGCCTTTTGTACAAACTAGAAACTCCAGTGAGGTAGTGTCTTAAGTACCAGGCTGCGAACTACAGGTCAGGAATTCAGACTCACCAACCCATCTGCTTGGGAGAGAGAAGTCTGTCAGCTCCCATAAAGAAGTGTAGCCTTGGAAACCCTAAGGAGCAGTCCTAACCTGTCTCAAAGGAATTGTCACGAAGGTTCCCTCTCACGGTGACCCTGTGCAAACAGCATCAACTACCGTCCGGTCCTGAAACATCCTCACAGTTGGTCCCTAGGCTCGAGCTCATTGTTGCAGCCACCGTCGATCCATCTTGCTGAAGGGCTTCCTCTTTTCGCTGCCCCTCTACTTAACCAGCTAGGACGCCCTTCTTCAGGACTGGTCTCTCTTGACAACACATCCAAAATCCTAGAGACTAGGTCTGCCCCTCCTAGCTTCCAAGGCCTGCGATGAGTTGGATTCACTCCGCAGCACACAATAACAGCAGAGGAACGGGGGTTTATTGGCACAGTTCTGGGGTCTGCAGGTCCAGTGTTAGCTGGTCTCAAGAAAACTCTGTGGGTTCCCTCTGTGGGTTGGGCGAAAAAAGGGGTCTCAGGCTTCTCTCCTAGCGTGCGGTGTTTTGTTAACTGGCCTCTACTTAGCCCCCCTTTCAAGGTGACCTGGCCGCACGCATCAGCACTAGCCCCGCAGCCTGGAGGTCTGAAAACCCTGACACCTGCTCTTGCTTCGGCAAATCGGGCAGTGGAAATCCGATGAATACAAGGGTCAGATCTGTGCTGGCATGTGGGGTCACCACGGAGCCATCGACGCCACTAGCTTCCTGTGGGGGTAGGTGCCACGGGGTCATTTTTTTACTCCGAATAACCCATGTGAAGGAGCAGGGCTATCTCAGAAGCGTTCTTGGCAATAACCTTTATGGATGCCGATTACCAGGACTTTCTCTGCCCGTCTTTCAGGGAGCAGCTGAGGGCTGGGCCTCTTGTGCCAAGTAGTCCTTGGCTTACAGCGCGTCCATCACGTGGCAGCCTTCCTG